GTTGTTCCTGAAGCTAGACCCACTCACCACTAATGTCCTCATTATGGGAGACACTGACTCTCTCCTAGCATAGGACAGGTGGAGCTGGGTTCCTGTCACTTGCGAACAAAAGCATCCTGACTAGGAGATCCCACAACTGGTAGGTGGCAGGAAATCATAATTCTTGTGGGGAAACAGAATGCCCCACACTGAATACGGTGGTTTGGGTGGAAGCTGATCCCACATTTAGGAATTTCACCCACGCCAGTCGGTTATGGTGTTGATGATAATATTTTGGCAGGAAATCAAGGATGCTTACTGTAGGAAGGACTTGTATACCACCAATCTGGAGAGACAGAGAGAGAGAGATAAACAGAAAAGTAGAATTAGAACGGAGGTGGAGTCAATCAAGGTTGGCTCAAATGACTATTAGATGGGACCAAGTATAAGGGGATCTGAGTGCCGGCTAGAGGAGAAAGGGGTCTCTGCCGAGAGGCTGCCAAGAGCCAAAATCCCACCTTCAAATGTCCAGCACAACGGCAACAAGGTGGTGCCATGTGCAAGGGTAACTGCCATGCTTTCGTGACCGTGTTGTTGGGAAACGCATCGCGTAGGCTCCACATGGGTAGTAGGACATGAAAACATCTCTATTCTCCCAACACATGGAGCGTTTGGTCCAGACAATGCAATCCAGCAGAAATGTTCCCGAGACAGCCTTGTCTGTCACCTAAAGTCTTAGGACCGTGAACCCAGAGGACTCTTATTTCACTGAGCCAGTAAGGACAGTCCGTGTGTTGTGGGCTCGACTGGAAGTGTCCACATATTGAGAATGGTCAGGGACGGCCCAGGTGGCAAACACAGTCCACTGTTCTCCACTGAAACCACTGACTGGATCCCCAGGTAGGCAGTACCCTGACTGAGATACTCAGGAGACAAGAGGCAGCAGAACTCACCTGGTGTGGTCGTCGGCTGAGACAGGGCAGCTGTGAAAACAAAATACATGAGACACAGTGCACAGAACTGATATGACTGGACGCAAAGGTAGAGGACCTGAGGAGGTCACAACCTTTGAAGCTTGTCCCCTGCCATGAAGAGCAGGGCACAATCCACCCACACCCCGGTAGGATGCTCCTTGTAAAAAGACCAGGAAGACCACAAATATTATATCCAACAGTAAGGTGATTAGCTTCATGTCTACATGTCATGACCATATTGAAGCAAAAAAGATCATCTCTGTAGAGCTTTTGGCAGCCTGCTGCAGAGGCAAGTGCAAGGAGCCCAGCTTCCACCAAAAGGCAATGGCTGATCTTTCAGGCCTAAGCAGGAGTCATGACAAGGTTTGCCTGGCAGGAATTGCAAAAGCAGCTGTCCTTCGCAGCACAATCCAGTGCACGGACCAGGCAGCACATTTCTCGGGTGGGAGATGCAGTCAGGGACTCAGGACCCCAAGCCCAGGGCCAGCATAGGCACACACATACAAACTCTGTAATCCTAGCCGGGATCCCCATGAGAGTCCTCCATTTTTCAGGAGGATCTTTCGCTGCCTGATGCAGCGTTGCAGGAGGCCCGTAATTGTTTCATGGAGACTTGCAGTTTGGTTCTTCTCCTAATTTACCATCTCCACACCTGGCAGCCTGAAAAAGCTAATACTGATTCCAGTGGAGAGTTCAGGAGACTTGAGGAAGACAAGGATGGTATAAGTAGCTTCCAATGAGCTGATCAGAATGTGAGGTCTCTCTTCCCTACCCCTACCCCCAAAGACAAACACCGAATGATGAGAGGCTCACCTGAGCAGATGACACTGGCGTCCTCACTATGGACACAGTTGTGCGAGTTCCAGCCGTTGTGGGGGCAGCGCCACAGGTTGGACTCATGCCCGGAGCAGCGCACGTTGTCCAGGACAATGGGCCCTGAGCCCTGACCAAAGCGGGCACTTCCCGGGGCCGACACGGCCCAGCCACAGCCCAGTTGCCTGCACACCACGTTGGCGTCATTGGTGTCCCAGTCGTCGTCACACACGGTGCCCCAGGAGCCTCGGTACAGGACCTCCACGCGGCCCTGACACCGGTCACCTCCATTCACCAGCCTCAGGGCCAAACCTGCCTCACTCCCTAGCAAGACAAAGAACAAAACCCACTGTCCATGTCTCTCTTCTGGTCATAGGTTTAAGGCATATTCCAGACTCAGGGGCTTGCTCATGGCCAAAGTGCCCTGGGCATCATTCACCTTTGAACATGCCTGGAGTTTAATATTCCTCACAGGCAAATAGTGGAAACATCCTATACATCCTAGGCCTTAGGATATTCTGATGCAGGGAAGCACCTTATGATTCAATCGAGGTGAGTAGGAAGATAACCCAAACCCCACTGGGCCTGCTCAGGATCGAGCCCCATAACTACTGGTTGCAAGCCAAGACCACTACTCTGTTGGGCAGCTTTTTGGCTTCTGAGGAGCCCTGATGTTTTCTGGAAAAAGCCCCAGGACTTGATGGCAACTTGGCACGAAAGGAGCAGTACCGTCATGTTGCCCCCTCTTCCTGAGGCCCCACTCCATAGCGTGGGAGCCATGAGCAAGGTCACAGCAGGACTTGTGAGGGCTCTAAGTATTACATTAACTCCCTGCTGGAGACTCTTCACTGAACTTCATCCCATGATTCCCCTGATTCAGGTGGCCAGCCCCCTAAGATCAGACCTAGGGTGTGAGAGACACCTCTTTCTACCACCAAACACACACACTCAGGGACAAAAATAATGAAGGGCACACCCTGCGACTCCTCCTGTCACTTCCAAACCCAAACTTTATCTAGAAGAAGAATGAGTCAAGGGGATCATTTACCTATATTTGGTGTTACAGGTGCGGAGTTGGGGAGCCAGGTGCCTGGAAGTGATGACAAAGGGAAAGGCCAGAGTTAGACATCATGGAAAGCAGTCTTTTAAAATAGTTTTTGGCAGGCAGCTGACAATGCACATTGCAGCCTGCCACCTTGCTTCTATTTGTGATACACAAGCCTCCTGCTCAGCCAGCTCTCTTGGGATCAAGGCCATGCAAGAGCACAACCTGGTCCATCCACATCAGTCTCTAAGCCTAGCATGTTCTTTTCTCCCTTACAAAGCCTTTGCCACCTCCCTGCTCTGAGGCATGTAGTCTGAGCAGTTTCCCACACTCTGAAGCTTGGGCAAAAAGAGTCAGGAGCGTGGTGGGTTGACTTGAAACCAGTCAGGTATCTTGGTACCCGAAACTTGCCATCAGTTATTACACTCCTATCCCCTGGACACTGTCCCTGCCACTTTGGATATACATGTGACCCTGATGAATCTGAGGTTGCTGAAAGCAGTGAGTGATGAAGAGAATCCAGCCTGCTGTCCCTTCAGAGGAGGTTAATCGTCATCCGTGTCCACTCTCCCACTCATCATATCAGCCAAGATTGCCTTACAGCTGAAATTCATGTAACACAGGGCCAGTTCCCTGAACCTGCAGGCAGCTGTCTCCTGGGACAGCCTGAAAGGACTGGATGAAACATCATGGATTGATAGACAGATGGGACTTTAGAATCCCAGGTCTGGTTAAGAACCACCTGTTGGGGACTCTACGATGGGGGTGGGGGACAAAGCGTGTACATAGGTTCTCTGAAGAACAGTGGTTCTCCCAGAATGGGTAGAAGAGGCATTGTGGGGGGGGGGGGGGATGAAGAAAAGGAACATTCCAAGTACGGTCATAAGGACTCACCTGGCTGGCTTGTGGACTGGGTGTGAGTAGCTGTGAGAAAGAAACTTGAGGTTAGACACAAAGCGACCGGTGCCCCAACTGGATCAAGCTGGAAGATTATGAGACTATGCATACAGAGCTGATGACTTCACGTGCCCTCAGTTAGACAGAGCCAGGGCACTCCATGAATCTCTCCATCCTCTGGGAGCCCCACCCTATGTCCCATTGCCATTGCCTGCCTTGCTAGGTCTGAGGGCTGACTTTCCAGCAAGCAGAATGCCACCACCCTGCCTGCAACAGGCTGCCATATCATTGTGTTCATTCAGCATGGGAACAGCAAGAATGAGTCTGGGCAGTTATTCTAGGAAGACTCCAATTCCACCAGCCCAGGTGCAATGCTCTCAATCTTTACAAGGTCTCTTGGGCTTTCTGCAGGGGTGAAGCTCAGGTCCCTTAGTCATATGTGGTTCTTCAGCATTCTATGTACTACTGAGCGGCCATTCCCTGCACCTTCCCCACTTCCAACTGCTATTCACTGCCTGCCCAAATGCACAGTTTGGACCGCAATCCTGTTCTCTGAGTTTGCCTCACTGATGACCCAACATAATTTGACCACAAAGGGGTGAAGGTGGTTCGTTTTCCAACCACACACAAGATGTGTGCCTTGAGAAAGATCGTCCTGGGAAATTGGTGGTGTACTGAGTAATAATTCCACTGAGAAGGAATAATGGCTCAATTTTTCTGTCCACTGAATAGTGGATGGTTCCTTTCACCCACCATGCCATTGTTGCTGCAAAGTCATATTGGTCCTTCTCTGTTAGCCTAATAGGGGAGGAGAACATACTCTACCCTTTCTTTCTTATTGTATATCAGTTGCCTGCTATCTCCAGGAAACCTTAGGAGGCACAGGATATCTCAGAGAGGGTTGGATGTGGGCCTTGTAGTATGCAGTGTGTTTGTTCCCATCAAAGACCACTTCAAGAGAGAGCCAGGAATATTTGTTTCCCACCTGAACAGATGACACTGGCATCCTCCCCATGGCCACAGTTGTGTGAGTTCAGCCATTGTGGGGGCAGCTCCACGGGTGGGACTCATGCCTTGAGCAGTGCACATTGTCCAAGACAATTGGCCTTGAGCCTTGACCAAACTGGGCATTTCCTGGGGCTGACATGGCCCAGCCACAGCCCAGCTGCCTACAGACCATATTGGCATCATTGGTGTCCCAGTCATCATCACACACAGTGCCCCAAGAGCCTCAGTACAGGACCTCCACGTGGCCCTGACACCAGTCACCTCTACTCACCAGCCTCAGGACCAAACCAAATTCAGTCCCTAAATGAAGGCATAACATTTCTCTTACATGTTGCCACAAATGACAAAGTCTTAGGACTCTATCATATTCATAGTGCTTCACAGTAGGTGAAGGTCACTGAGAGTTTTAAGTAGGCTGGACTCTTAAAGTATCATGAGTTAGAATTCTTCAAGGTTAAAAGGACAGTGACGTCTCTCCCCAATCTAAGCCACTAGAACTTCAAGGGGAAGTAAATGCACCTTAGTTTATAGCCTTGAGAGGGCTTAAAGACTATCCACAAGTTTTTTGTCTGAGCAAAACAGGGACACAGCTCGACCCATGACTGTCCCGTGCTGAAGAGAATTCTTGTCTGATGACACCAGGATGTCTTGTGAGTTCTCATACATATCTTGGGCTCTGAGGTTGGCTTAGAAAACATTTTTCACATGCTGCTTCTGGCTCCATAGTCAAGTCTTTGGGGCTAGAATGGCTGGGACCAGTGCATATTTGTGGGATGAAACAGGTAACTCTGTAGTCTAGAGACTGATTCCACTGGTCTCTGACCCAAGGCACCCAGGCTCCTAGAGATCCCATATTTCAACTGATTCCTCCCCACCCACTAGGGATGGACAATGAAGGAAGCTCCAACTCAAGCCGGGCCCTGGGTCACAAGGGACATTCCTTTGTGTTATATGCATAAAACACTCTTTCTCACCCCAGTTCCTAGAATTCTTCCTGAATAAGAGTGACACCCAGGGGCGCCTGGGTGGCGCAGTCAGTTAAGCGTCCGACTTCAGCCGGGTCACGATCTCGCGGTCCGGGAGTTCGAGCCCCGCGTCGGGCTCTGGGCTGATGGCTCAGAGCCTGGAGCCTGTTTCCGATTCTGTGTCTCCCTCTCTCTCTGCCCCTCCCCCATTCATGCTCTCTCTCTGTCCCAAAAATAAATAAACGTTAAAAAAAAAAAAAAGAGTGACACCCATGTATATATTTGGCATCATTACCCACCAAAAAGGAGCCAAATAAAATTAATCATTACCTATTGCACCAGTAGTCCCAGTATCCTCTGTAGTGCTATCTGCATAGATAGATTATAGAAGGAGGGGGGAAAAACATAAAATGTAAAATTAGGTCCCTTCTGAGGAGAATCAGTAACTGGAAGTACAATAGAACCTGCTAAGGAAACATTATTTCTGACCTGGATTTCATCTTGCTATGTGACTTTAGAAAAGGGAACAAACCTGTCTAGCCTCAAGATCTTTCATTCTAAAAGACTATTTTGGAAGAAATCTCTCTTCATTAACCTACTGACCTTGATTCTGACCATCCCACACGTGACCTATGCAGGGCTCCAGGGGACAGATGTAAAAATAACTTTTCTAATCCTTATGCTTCTAACTGATTTCTCTTGTCTAATTGCATTGGCTAGTATCTCTTACACAGTGTTAAATGACAGGGGTCCCAAAGGCCATCTTGCCTTGTTTTCTACTCTAGTGAAAATGCTTCTGATGTTTACCCATTAAGTAAGATTATGGCTTTAAACCTATGATTTTCACATTGTTTCAAGGAGCTGTGGTGTTCATCCAAGGCCCCAGCAAGATCCTACCTGGTGCTGGGACCTGAAGAAGAGATGACCTGATTGCTCCTCTTAACCCACTCTCACTAAAGCGTTCATTTTGTTTCTGAATTCCCTATTGGACTTCTACCTGAGGTCTTTTTGGATCTAGAGAAAGTTGACTCCCACATCTACCCCACACTGGAGGTCCTGACAAGAGTAGGTCTATGTAAGTCCTATATGCAGTCAGATAGTGTCATAGTCAGATATTTAAGCCCCTGAGTTCCTCACCTGCACCCCTGGGTGGACCAGTTGTACCAAAGAACTTGTCAGGCCCAGCTGTTACTCCTAATACATAGTCAGAGGAAACCACTCTAGAGAGGAGCAGGTTCTCCTCTTACACCTGCTACAAGTAAGAATCTTGGGAAGACATGGCTAAATTTAACAAAGCCAGTGTCCTCCTCAGCTCTGGTGACATCTGTGTCCTTAATCATAGGGAAGAGAAAGAGGTAAAGTCAGACTTCACCCCATGGCCTTTAGGGACAGGAAAGCATAATGCCTGAGGAACAGAAATGCCGGACATGTGTACCATTAAGATTCCCAGCTGATCCATGCTGACTCCTAGTCAGGGGCCTTCATGTGAAGGCTCTCCTTCTTTTGTCCTAGGGTCAACATTTCCCATGTGATATGGCAGTGACTTTCCTTCCCAAAGCCCAGGTTGCCAGAAACTCGAGCTGTATTGACTACCTCCCAGCTGTTTCATTGGAGGTGGCCCCAGGGGGGTGCATGGGACCTCTGACGCCCATAAGCTGAAGGACCATGGTTACTTTATACTGAGAAGGAACCAAGTTGGTCTGATATGGGCTCAGGAAAATGCACAAGCACGCAAGGATGCTACCCCAACAGGTTTGCACTTGCCTCTCCAGGCCCTGCAGCCAGAGACCCAGCACCCCAGCCTGGCCAGGCACCAACACGCAGTGGTGAGGACCACAGGGGTAGGCCCTGAGCATGAGCAACAGGGCCTTCCTGGAGACAAGACGCCAAGCTCCACCTTGGAACTCCTTGGAAGTGCCTGTGCAAGTCAATCCCTCCCCAATCTCAGGGACATGGTCCCATTGAGGCCTGAGGCCTTGTTCAGAGGTTCCCTCTTTGTTGCTAAGCACCCCTATCTCTTACACCTTTTGCACCTCTTCTGGATCAAAGATGGCCCTGTGAGTACAGTGAGGTAATGAGCCCATAGTGATCCCATATAACAAATGTTACCTTCTACCGCAGCTGTTGCCAGGGGTGCCTCCGTGGGAGACAAAGAAGCTAGAGTGGAGAAAGGAAGAGGTGATCAGTATTGGCTCTCATTTGAGAAGGGGTGGACTCCTGTTTCCTTAGCTCTGAAATAAGGGCTGTATGCAGTGATCCGGAAACCCCACCCACTGCTGACAGGCTCCATTTCTTCCTTACAAAACAGAATTCCTCTCTCTGTCATTTCATCAGCCCTCATTCAATGCTGGAATGCCACCAGAGATGTTCTTTGTTCCTACCACCAACCCCCGCCTCCGCCTCCACTGTCTCCATCCAAAAAATCACCCAGTTGACTAACAGCCCCACCTGATTTACAAGGTCGCATTTCCAATACAAACTGCCTATTTCTATAGCATACCCACACCCTTAAATGACAAGTATCTACCATCACTGAGATATTCCTGAGGAGGTGGCCCCAACTAAGAATAAAGGCGGTTTTTTCAAAGATGCATCCCCAAATGCTGAAATAAACCACTCCAAAGTGACTGCTTGGAGGCCCACACTTTCTGGGGGAAGCCATTCTCAAGTGATGGATTATCTGGGTCACGTCCCATGCACGGGGGCATGCGCACACACCAGTCCACATAGCAAATGCCAGAGGTCACTCTAAAGATGGATAATTTATCTAGGAATCCCCCTTTGGGGGACACATTGAGTGTTATCCTCAGGGTTTCTTTGTGGATTAAAAGACCACTTGGTGCTTGAACACCCACCAGCATTGTGTGAACAAGGAGAAACTCGGCATTGGCGTGTGCTAGGTTGAGCCAAGGAGAAGTTCTCTCTTCCACTGTGAGTGTAAATATCTTTTGCTTGTCATTTAATCCCCAGTAAAGAGAATATACTGGTTACTTCAGTGTTTGATTTTGGTAGAGATTTAAGTTTTAAGGACCAGAAGTCCCTAGTCCTTCTCTCCTGACTTTAAAAGGAGGAGATAGGGCCACATAGGAAGGCATTTGGTCATCCCAGGCCAGGGATCATCAGGACGATACCACTGGGTGTTGCATTGACAAACTCTGGAGGAGCCTGTGATTGAAACCCACCTGCACCGCTTCCCAGCTTTAGGACTCCAGGCAAGTCACTTGCCTTCTCTGAGCCTGGGATCTCACCCTTTCTGAGTGAAAAGGAACCTGCCCTCTAACATCAAATAAGACATGGCTTAGAGTAAAGCAGGTAAACTGCAAAGTGCTGTGGGCATGCACCATGATGTAGAGGTCAGCAGGAGCCTCTGCCATCCAAGGGGCACAGGCGACCACACGAGGCGAGGTCAGCTCTACCTGAGCACACAACTCCAGCGTCTTCCCTGTGGCCACATTCATGGTTGTACCACCCGCTGTGGGAGCAGCTCGACAGGTAGGGCTCCCATCCTGAGCAGTATACGGAGCCCAAGAGAATGTTCCCCGAGCCCTGACCAAAGTAGGCCCCGCCCGGGGCCAACACCGCAAGGCCACAGCCGAGCTGCCGACAGACAACATCTGCATCCTGGGTGTCCCAGTCATCGTCACACACGGTGCCCCAGTAGCCTTGGTACAGGACCTCCACGCGGCCCTGACACCGGTCACCTCCGCTCACCAGCCTCAGAGGCAAACCTGCATTGAAAGAGTGGAAAGCTCTCGTCCTCTCTCTGCCCCCTTGGCTTTCACTCACCCGTACCCCCTGTTCCCCTCCTCCTCCTGACCACTTCCCCATCTCCTTCACCCCTGTTTCTCCTCTCCCAGCACCTTACATATTGCTGCCCTGCCACACGCTGTCTTAGCCCTCTTCTCATGCTATCTTCCCCCTGAATGAGCTCATGTGCTCTGAGAGCTTTCCAGGAGGAGGGACCCCCAAAGCCACCTCTCCAGTGCTGATCAACCCCTACAAGCCCAGCCAAGCTCTAGACCAATATTCCCAGTGACCTTCTGGATAGCCGGGCCCTGCTGTCTGGTACCCAACACAGTCTCTTTTGTCTACTTCAATCATGGAGTCACCATGCTCCACACGAGCGGTGTTGGAAATCTGGTTGCTATATCGGATTCCCCCTCTTCTGTACCTCTTGTATCCAATGTATCAACAGGGTTGTCTTTCCTTTTGTTCTCACTGCCATTTTGCTAGATCTTCCTTCTCCTGAACCTGGCCTACTCCAGGGCCCTGTCAGTGGACTTTCCTGCCCTCTGTCCCTCTCTCTTGAATCCATCCCATTGATGGATTCCATAAGCATTTATGGAGAGCTTACTCTATGCCCCCTCCTCTGCTGAGGGGATTGATCTGTTTCCCCCTGGAATGTCCCAAGTCTTGTTTTCATAAATCGTGAATATGTTCAACTCATTTTCCTGCTCAAAGCACCTCACTGTATTCTCCACTTGATCAGGGTCAAGTCTTGGATGGCATTCATCCAAGCGTGGGCCTCAGGTCACCTTTCAAGCCTCCTGACAGAGCCGGGGTGCCACCGTCATGGGCACCTTGCTCCTGCCTGACATGACCCTGCTGAACCACCTGCGCTAGGGGAGGAAAACAAGCAGCAGGGTCTGAGGAATCCAGCCCAACACTGGGACAGCAGGAGCTCGGTCCAAGGTGTGCTTTTCAATGGTTGGTTTGTGGTTATGAGAAATTTATGGGGGGGGGCGGGCCAGAGAGGGTGGGATGGGATGGAAGATAAGGGGGCAGGTGGTTGCTGTGGTCTTTATAAAGGAAGGAATCAGAAAAAGAGAGGGGAAACGCCAATCGGGCTGTTTCTAGAGTATTCTAGAGGTGCGTTCCAGGCCTCCTCAGTCTTTCCTGCTGCCCCTTCACTGCTGTGAATGTCCCTGCAGAAGATCTCTCAGTCTCCCTGCCCTCAGCTGCCCTTTACTGGTGGTCAATCACCAAAAAACTCCCCTCCAGCCCCTCCCAGGCCACTTTTGGACCCTCAGGGCAGCTTCTGAAAGGACAGAGATTGGTCTCAACAGAACCAAGAACCCCATGGTAGGATCCACTGTCCTAAGTGGTCACATCAAGGACTCTGACATATCAAATTCAGTGCAAAGTGTGCACAGATGGTCAGAGGTTGAGGAAAGACAGATAGATTTAGTAAGAATAGTGAACAGAGGCAAAGGCACCTGTTCTGGGTTCAAATTTCTGCCCAGACACTTCCCCACCCTGTGGCCTTAGACATATAACTATTGACAAGTGACCAATCTGTGCCCCAGTTTCCTCATCTGCAACTTGGGGGTAATAATACTACTTACCTCAAAATGTTGGAAAGATTTCATGATAATAGCACTTACTGTGTGCATTAGCTGAGCACGTACTACGTGCCAAGCAGTATTTTAAAGGATTTTTTTATACATTAACTCATTTGGTGTATGAAACTGATTTTGTGCAAGGTACATAGACAGTGCTTCGGAGATGTAAGTTATCATCAAGATAACTATCACTAAGAAGAGGCACTGGCTTTTTTTCACCTATCTCTCCTGACACCAAGCTGAAGCTGATCTCACGCAACAAATGAGCGAGAAGCAGAGAGAAGGAAGGAGGATGACAGTGAGACTGGCTGAGTGCGGATCTGGGACACGCCTAGGGTCTCAGCATCCACTGATCCTTCCCTCTCCATCCCTGCGTTCTAAAGGACAGGTGCTAGCCCTGTGGCCAAGACTGCACTCAGCCTCAACTAGCCAACAGCAGCAGCAACAGCAGCAGAACTGGCTGGCTCAGCCAGTGAGCAAAACCCCAGGAAGACAAGTAAAGAAAAAATGTCTTACCATAGTCTGTAGTCAAGGGGTTCCACAGACCTAGACAGAAACAAAATTCACCTTGAAACAGAGGTTCTGCTGTTTATAAATGATGTACAGTCACAGAAATTGGCTTGAGCGTTACCTTACAACCATGCCAAGGGGCGTTGTGGCTCACTCTTGGGTCTCTGTGCCGACAGTGTTCTTGCAGTGTTTGGGGTTTTGCAAGAATAGATTACAAGTGGGCTGGATATGGAGTGTTTGATAATTTTAGATGTGATGAAGTACATGCCTCTTTACGCTGCCCACTTACGCTACAGTTTATGGCGTAATCTGTTCGCAGAAAGAAGGGCTAGACAAGAAAAGGCAGCGTAGACGGGTTTCCAGGATTCTGGATGCCAGTTGAATCCTCCTTTCCAGTCTGAAATTTGAGTGGAGTCAGCACTCAGAATAGCCACTCAGAGGCCCCCTAAAAAAGTATTTATTCTGGTAGCAGATGACCTCTTCCTTCTGATCCATACCCTGTGAAATTTCTAGTCTATCTTGAAGAAAACCGACATCTAGAGAACCCTGGATCTTTATCATTAGTGAGGCCACTCTAAAGCTCTCTATGCCCTTTGACTTCAGATTAACCCTAAGGACACCTTCAGGGGCCATCAGACTTCATTTTAGTTTTTGAGTTTCTTTTTTTGAGCAAATCACATTCTATTTGTGAGGATTGATAGGTCATGACCTTTCTTTGTTTTTAGAGGTCTTCCAAAGGACAAAAAGAATATTTATTCATTAAAAGAAAATAGGATTGGGGCGCCTGGTGGCTCAGTCGGTTAAGCATCCGACTTCGGCTCAGGTCATGATCTCACAGTTCGTGAGTTCGAGCCCCGTATCGGGCTCTGTGCTGACAGCTTGGATTCTGCTTCGGATTCTGCTGGAGACTGCTTCGGATTCTGTGTCTCCCTCTCTCTTTGCCCCTCCCCACTCATGCTCTGTCTTTCTCTCTCTCTCTCAAAAATAAACTTATAAAAAAAATTTTAATAAAAGAAAAGAAAACAGAATAAAACTCATTCTTATAGTCACTATATGGGTTCACTGGATCCTTTTAGAAGTCCAAGATACATTATGGGCTCTCAGTGATCCCCTTTTTCCTATATCTTGAGACATTTTGCTATTTCATCATTTGAGAAATTGGTTCAGCATTACTCATTAATTATTGACTATCATAAAAAAAGTGTTCTATAATAAAGACAAAGAGAGAATGGTGGCATTATCTAGAAGAAAAAAAATGGAATGGTAGGCTTTATCTAGAAGAAAAATGGAATGGGTCACCATTTCTCAGTGACCCAAATATCACCGTAGCTTTCAAGAGGGTATTTTTTTAAAGACTGGAGACACTGTCTTTGTAGGATGCTTTTGGCTTTCATTGAATTAAATGAAGAATTCAGAACCTTTCATTACTTGTTATCAATGATAAAGAGAAGAAAATTGACAAAGGAAGATGTTTCACAATAACTAGATGAGTCAGAAGAGGAACATAAAGAGATAGCAGTCCTGTAGATGCTAACAGTAATGGTGAAATTGCTTGTACAATTGAAATCTCAGACTCTGAGCCTTCAAATTATGATAACGTAGAGGAACTTCCTCAAATTCAAGAATCAAAGAGTCAGTAATATAATTCTAAGTACAAAAACAAAATATAGTGCGCTCACTCACTTCAGTGGAAAGGATTTCATCAGTGATATTTCTCAGCAAGAACTTGGACCATCTCATTTTGCTAAAAGGACATGTGACGGTAACACTTTTACTTTTTCTAATGCTAATGTGCCAAAATCTACTTCATACAGGAGATCTGTTATGTTTAAATTCTTACTATAAATTTTAATAAATTTTCTTTCACGATCTCTTTTTTCTTAACTTCCTGGTACAGGGAAAGTTAAGGCATTTGACAAACTTCTCCAGATTCTTTGTAAATGTGAGTCCTGCTGGGAGCAGAACTCAGGGGTTCAGAGATCTGTCTCTCTCTAGCAAAACCAACAGGCCAGGGAGGGGACTGGATGCCAGAGAACCACCCCATTTGTCTCGACACTTTGAATGTGGGTTCCACACTGGACTTCTCCAGCTGCCCTGCTTCATATTGTTGATGACCCAGTAACAGGGCCAGTGAGGCCATGTAGCTGCACGCCCCTGAGGATGGAGAAGCAATCCAAAATGGAAACAAGAAGCTAGAGCATTCTTTCAACAGAGGCCACACACCTAGGAAATGTCTGCACCAGAACATCCCCACCTCATTTCTGACATGCCATCCCCGCTCCCACACTCAAGGACATGATGACAGACATGCCTGAGAGAGTCCTCTGTTGAAAACTCTGACATTTAAACACAGTACAGATGACACCACACAATTCCTATTTTCTTGTTCCAGGTATCTTGCTTAGTCACATGGCAGTCAATAAACATCCATCTCAGAAGCTCTGAGATCCAGAGTCCTAACAACATCCAGCCATAGCACCAAACAGAACACTAAGGTTGTCTCTGGTTGGGCTATTTGTGCACAGTCTGAACAGACACTTTTCCACAAATGTACTGAGACCCACTTGCTTTCTTCCAGCAATCAACCACAGAGCTGTAGATGATGTCAGCTGCCATTTTGGGAATGATGGTAAATCACTTGGAAAGAACAGCTCCCACTTCTTTGTTTTCCAGGAACAGAAATAATCTGGTCTCTACTGCTGGGTACTATGTCCAAGACAGTTGAGCCATCAGAATGAACCAACCAGGAAAAGCTTCAAAGAGATCTCAAAAGATATTCCCCCCAAAGACCTAGTCACTTTCCAAGGGAGCTGGTCCCTTTCCATCTAGACTCAACCATTGCCCCAAATATTCTGGAGTAATTATTGTGTACATTTGAACATGGCATACATTATTGTTCTAGTGGGGGTGAGGAGGGCCTGAAGAAGAGCTTGAGTATAAAAACAAACCGGTGTCATCAAACCAGCCCATATCTACTGGCTAGGCCACTCCAGTTATTCTAGAAGGGAAGCCTAAGGGGACTGTGTGGTGACTCCAATAGCACTCTGGAAAGTGCTCTGGACCTTAAACACATTTACTGAAGAAGTATTACATCTTCATAGTTGAGAACAACACCATGTTTTACTATTTATATGTACTATCTCAGTTCATCTTTACCCCAACCCAGTATCCCCACTTATAGACAAGGACACGGAGTCACAAACATTGAACAAATGAGTCCAAGGACATACAGACTCCACCTCTATTGTCAAGGCTTTCAGCTATCATCCTGCACTGACTTTTGTCACAGCCACTGCCTGCTATCAACCCACTCCTTGTGGTTCTTGCAAGGAAAGTGGTCGACGCCAACCTACTTTCCATAAACTCAACAAAATGAGGTTTTCAATATGAAGTCACCCAGCAGCCTTGACTAAATTTCCATATTGTTTTTGTGTAGCACCACTCCAGGATAAGAGTGCTTTCAATTATTGTGGTTTTCATCTTTAAGAAGGCTTTCATCTTACATCTGTCACAAGCCCCCAGATTAGTTCATCCTCTCAGGTACCATCTACTCTGCCGTATAGTCTGCGTCTATCTCAGTGGAGTTAAGGATGTTGTGGATGGAAGCTGTGTATAAGCCCTCTTCATTAAGTCTCACTATCTCCAAGAAAATGGCCAACTTAAGGGGTTGGTACAGGGGGGATAGGATGACACAAAGCAGAGATCGTGCTACATTGCTCATTTTTAATATGTCAGTTCAAGATATGATCGAAGGATGAGCTTCCCACGGATTTGCTCATGAACACATCTCTGGCTTTGCCTTCAACCAACTCCATCCATATTTAGACAAGAATTTAGAAGGCAAACAAGAATCAAGTCCAGCTGTGGCTCTTAACCCATTTGCTCCAAAAGACAAATGATACTCTACCACCAATGGCAGGCAACACTTCAAAAACTCTATTAACTGGAAGTCTCTTTTTTTTTTTTTAATTTTTTTTAGTTAGAGCTTTGGAAAATGTGTCAAGGGCAGTTTGGAAGATGGAACCTAAAGATAACCTCCCATCAGGGCAGTACCCTGGCTAGATGGCTAAGCATGGAAGAGGGGAGTATCTAATGGCAGAAACAGGGTGGCTATCGTCCATCTGAGTCTGTACCTGTTCCTTCACATTCCTGACAGCAAATGCAGTGAAGAACAGAAAACCACTCTTCCTTCGTGCTCTGTCTGGTGAATTCCTGCACTAGCTCCAGACCTGAGTTTGCCTGTGACTATCTTGGAGCTGGTCTCTTTCTCATAGCCTGATCACATCTCTCTTGCCATGTACCTCTTGCTCCAGCATTTCCCACAGCTGTACTTGTAACTGTATGATTACTGTCTATCTTGCCATTAGACCATAAGTCCCTGAGATCGGGAAACACATTCTCCTGAAACACCACACAGAGAGCCCACACTGTAGTCTCTCCTGCATAGAAGGGTCCATGGCAGGACTGGTTCTCACCAAATGAGGTAGCAAAGATATTGAGGCCATTTTGAAAGGGGTGTAAACGTTCAATGTTAGCAATGCACTTGTTGAAAAGCCTTGACACCAGTCAGACTTATGATGCAGCCATGAACCACTTGGGAAAATGTTTCCAACTTAAATGTACTTGACATTGAGCAAAATACAGACATTAAGAAAAAAATAAGTAAAAACAGATAGCACTTAAAATACATATATACGTATCTCTGCCACTGTCTTTGGAAATTCTTAGCAATGTCATGCTTCTGGAATTACACTCCAAACATAAAAACTTAATTCAGTACTGGGCCATGTAGCATGGTTGCTCAAAGTGCGGTCTACGGACCATCTTCATTTTCAGTTACGTAAGAGTTCAGATTCCTGAGCCTCAAACCGGACCCTCCAAATCAGGGTCTCTGAAGGGAAGGAAGGTAGATCCCAAGAACTGGCATTCAAAAAATATCCTCATTGATTCTGATGTACATAAAAGTTTGAGGCAAAGGCAAAATAAAATTGAAGAAGAACATAACAGTATAACTACTTGGTCCATTTATTCTATAACTGAAAGAAGCTTCTATTGTCTTTGTATTTCTACAAAGGACACAAATCATGCTTTTGTGTAGACCTCATACCATTCACTAAAGGCAGTGTTTGTGCTTAAGATGTAAATAACTGTATAGGATAATAATTAAATTCTAAACCAAATTCAGACATTGTTTTGAAAGTACTCACCAGGTGTTGTGAGAAGATCTGATTGGGAAACTACAAAGGAATAAAAGAAAAATCAGACATGAGTGTGTTTCATCTACAGGGATCCTGACCAAGAAATCCACATATGAACCATTGGTTTTCTTCTGGTTGACTCCGAAGTAGAGTTATAGCCACTGCATGTGGATCAACGTCAACAGATCTGTAATCTGTCTTTGAAACTTCATTCAAATTGATAAAGACTTCTTGAGTCTCTGGTGCGTGGAGAACAAAATGCTAAGCTAGTCCCAAGAAACATGGTGACTTAAAAAAAATGGCTTTTTACATCTGAAGAATAAATTCACTGTAACACTCTTTAATAATGTGGGCTCTTGTTTCTGTATACTTCCTGCTGCAGATATTTCTGTATTTCATTAAAATAGAAATGAACGTTTCATCGCTGGAGAAAAGCAAATTAGGCTTGTACCTAATTTCGTACAAATGTGGGACCCATTCCTTTTCTTATTTCTTTGAGGGAACGTAGCCTGGCCGATTCGTATGAATGGGCATGAGGAACTGAGAAGGCGGGCTTTGGCTTCTCGGTTCTTGACTGGCTGAAATCACTAAAAGCATAGATTGGCAACTGTTTGGTCCAAAAAACAGTCAAGTGGCTTTGTGTTGACAAAGACAGTGGGGAGGTGAAAATGTCTTTCCTTTCTCATAAAATGACAGAGGTGGTCACTTACTGAGACTTACTGACCCTCGATTAAATTCTCATTTAATCGGGAGAATTAAACAAGAGACATAGATCAAATGTGTATCAGACTGGCTGGCGTGTTGTCGGCACACAACGGATGTCAGCCACCGTTGCAATAAGAATTACAATGATGACGATAATTCTACAATTTCCAACACTCACTGTCTTTAAGTACATCACCCACATTGTCTCATTTGGTCCTCATGGCAAGCCATAATGGTAGGATTCCCTCCTCTTAGAGAGAAGTAAACTGACGTTGACTTAGCGGTAAAATAAGTTGGTCAAAGCACTCCATTGTTTCCACTTTCCTGATGGACAAATCAGTTTGGAGAGGAAGAAAGGTCATTGCTATCATGATTCTGCCTTGAGCTATGTAATATGCATTATCTCTTGGAGGCCCCCCTGAGCAGATGGCCCATGTCTTCCCCATGGCCACAGTCATGTGCGTTGTGGGGGCAGTGCCACAGGTAGGATCTGTTTCCTGAGCAGCACACATCGTCCAGGACAACCTGTGCTGAGCCCTGACCAAACCACGCAGTTGCTCAGATGCTATTCAAGAGCTTTCCATGTATCATCCTGGTTAGTCCTCAAAACAACCCATGGAAAAACGGAGGCTCTGGAAGGTGACCCAAGACCAACTGGCTGGTAGGCAATAAGGGGCAGGACTTGTACTCAGGCCAGTTGCTCTTACCCATGGCACAGTTTTGCCTCTTGGCATCTATATATTCAACATTGAACTATGTGACCCAAATCATAAGGTCTGCACTTTTGCACAGGCAGGCACACCCATGCACACACAGGGCTAGAAGAAGATAAAGAAACAGCAGAAGAAGTTACTATTTAAACCATCAACCAAGGCAGAGGTATTCACTGTTTTCCCAACACTTGATAAAAATTCTAGAAGAGAAATCATAACTGATTATATCCAGACTCTTAGTTAGATCCTCCTGTCCACACCTGCCTCTGCTGCCTCTCTGAGTGGCTGCAACCCCCAGGGAACACCCTGAGGGGGAGAGATCTTAGGAAAGGGGTATCACTGGGCAGAGGCCAGCATGAAGACTCAGGACCTATCTTCTGGTCAGTGTGGAACCTTACGAGGAAGAGGCCTGGGCCCTGGTAGACCCCATCAGAAGAGGCCCTTCCTTGCCCTACATCTAAAACCCAGCAAGAATCTCCATAGCAGGCCCTCCTGAGTCCTTGGGGGTGGCGTTGGGCCCCACAACCACCCAATCCCAGAGTTCAGTTACCACCTGGTGTCTGTGTCTCTTCAGAAGTGGCTTCTATGATTGAATCTGTCACTGAGCTTTCTGAAAAATACAAAGAAAAAGGGCCAAATGAGAACTCTTCTGAAAACCAGCGTTAAATCTCACCTCCCTGCTAATTCACGCAGAGGAGGGGGTGGCATCACACTTTATTTTGGAGGGTTAGCTGGGCCTCACTCATTAAATAATCGACTCAGCAAACATGGACTGATCTCTCACTGCCCATGAGGCACTGCACTGAAAGTTGGGGAGAAGGGAGGACTCCATCACAGAGGACAAGACTCCATTCTCTGGAGCTTAGAGACGACTCAGCATCCAGTCTCGGTAGCCAGTAATCCAGTCTTACCCTTGAGAGGAAAACAGAGCACAGGGTGGGAATCTCAAAGTGAACGATTTATGGGCTTAGAAGGAGGGCAGGAAAATTCCAGAGAGGAGCAGATATTTCATCTAGACTTGAAAAAAGGCCACAAATGTCAAGAAAATATGGAGCAGAAGTAGGATTGCCAGACAAAAATTACAGGAGTCCCAGTTAAGTTGGGATTTCAAATAAACAAGCATATTTCGTAATGTAAGTATATCCCAAACACTGTATGGGACATACTATACTAAAAAATTATCTTAAAAAAAGTTTTATTTGAATTTCAGATAAACAATGGGTACTTCTTTAGTGTAAGTATGTCCCAAATAAATTTGCATGGGACACACTTACACGCACGCACACACACACACACACACACACACACACACAAACCAAAAATATTTTTTTATAAATCTGAAGTTCAAATTTAACTAGGTGCATTGTATTTTTATTTGCAATATCTGAATACTCTGGTGGAAAGGCATCCTGTAGGTGGCAGTAAACACATTCTCTTCACTGACCTTTTTTTTAATTTTTTTTAATTTTTTACATTTATTTATTTTTGCAAGACAGAGAGAGACCAAGCACAAGCAGGGGATGGGCAGAAAGAGAAGGAGACACAGAATCCAAAGCAGGCTCCAGGCTCCAGGCTCCGAGCCGTCAGCACAGAGCCCGACACGGGGCATGAACTCACAAACCGCGAGATCATGACCTGAGCTGAAGTTGGCCGCTCAACCGACTGACCCACCCAGGCGCCCCTTCACTGACCTTCATTTAACCCCCTCGCCAGGTGAACTGATGCCCTCCATCCTCCCTGTAAACCTACCGATCACTAGGGCTGGCACACTGTTTCCTAGCATCCTGGCAACTTCCGTCCTAACCAGCTTAGTTGTACAATCAGCTAGAGGCAGGTATGAGCCTCAACCTTGATTATGCCAGTCGTCCTTGGATTAAATTCAATTAAATATTAAGTACATCGATGAAATGTGGGTAAAAAGAAAACAATGGCTTTCTATAAAAATGAGGCTGAATGCTTTGGAAATAAAATCAAGTTACTAAAAAGAAATCAGGTGAGAGAGACACTGAAGAATATAAGAAAGACGTACAACCACAGGAAAGACATACAACCACATGAGAATGTCTGTGTTCATACCGCTTTGCAAGTGTCTTTCATTTCACACTTCCCTTTAGAGAAAAGGCTAGAAATTACAGATATGCAAAATTGGTATGGTTTATGCAAGAAAGACATTGGAGAACCACCGAAGATCCCTACTGGGAGAAAGTCCTAAGGCAGCAAATTGGTGAATCAAAGTGTATTTATGTGTCTTAAGTTAAAGCGAAACACTTAAAATATGTATCCTAGCTTATGGTTCCCCATTTTAAACAACATTTTTGACATTGTTGTAACCAACAAACTCCCTGTTCCAGCTCCATAAGAACAAGGTCTTTTGGAGCAACGGTTCTTCAAGCAGGGGCCACGAGTCAGCAGCAGCAGCCAGCACCCGGAGTGTATTAAAAATGCAAATTCTTAGGGCTCCCCCAGACTTACGCATCAGGAGTTCTGGAAGTGGTGCCCAAATATGTGTGTTTACTAAGCACTCCAGGTGACTCTGACACATTGGAAAACCACTGTGCAACAGCATATGTAAAGGAAACGTAACAGCGAGTTCAACAGTAAGGTGAGATACACTTCCTTAGACAACCACTTACGCAGCCCCTGTAGGACGCTGGACCCCTCAGGCAGGGGATGTATTGACATTGCGTGATGCCTCCACTGTCCTTTGTAAATTTGCTCTAGCAGGTGAGGCGTCCAGGTAAGCAACTGGTGAACAGGAAACTAAGGGCTCCAGTTGAGGGATGTCCAGGAGTCTAGCGGAAATCATATGTGATTCCCCAGCACAATTCCAGGAAGTACAAACAGAGGTGAGCCAGGCAGAGGGGAAGACGTGGGGCAAAATGGGCTCTGAGGAGGTAGGGACACTACTTCTACACTAACTAAAGGGCTCCTTCGAAACAGTCTTATAAGAATAAGAATAAAAAACAGTATTTATAAGAATAAAATACAAACTCTAGGGGCACCTTGGTGGCTCCGTTGGTTAAGCATCCAACTCCTGGTTTCGGCCCAGGTCGTGATCTCACGGTGCGTGGCTTCGAGTCCCACGTTGGGCTCTGGGCTGACAGCTGTGGAGCCTGCTTGGGATTCTCTGTCTCCCTCTCTTTCTGCCCCTCCCCCACTTACACACACATACTCTCTCTCTCTCTCAAAAATAGAATAAGTAAACATTAAAAAAAAAAACACAAAAAATACAAACTCTATGCAAAGCTTCTTGGCCGTCTCCTGCAGAGGGAGAGATAGACGAATTAGGTTTCTGGATGGAAGGACTGAATACAGAAATGTCATTCACTGTAGACCAATTTGGGCTTACTATCATTCCCATCCAAAGATTCTTCTTTGAGAGGTTCTTTTAAAAAAGCGTTCTGGGGGCACCTGGGTGGCACAGTCGGTTAAGCGTCCGACTTCAGCCAGGTCACGGTCTCGCGGTCCGGGAGTTCGAGCCCCGCGTCAGGCTCTGGGCTGATGGCTCGGAGCCTGGAGCCTGCTTCCAATTCTGTGTCTCCCTCTCTCTCTGCCCTTCCCCCGTTTGTGCTCTGTCTCTCTCTGTCCCCCAAAAAATAAACGTTGAAAAAAAAATTTTTTTAAAAATAAAAAAGGGTTCTGAAGTTCATTAGGAAACATTAACAGCCTAAAACTAAGTTCTTGAAAAGGAAAGATCCTGATGGGGCAAAGTGGGGGTGCTGGGAGTGGGACCTGTACACCCAGGAGCTTGGGGGACACAGGAACATAGGTTTAAATTCTAGTGCTGCTGCTCCTTTGCCCTCTAAACGTGAGCAATCATTAACCTCACTCTCCGTCTCCTTATCTGTATGAGGATAGTTACACGAACTCCTTCATTAGGTTATTGTGAAGACAAAACCAGAAAAAAAAATACACCAAGTGTTTAAAATAGTGTCTGTCATGTAGCTGGCATTCAAAAAATTAGCTTTGAAATATTCAAAATATTAGCTATATTAGCTATATTCAAAATATAGCTATACGAATTAAATATATAGGGGGAAAAAACCCCTTATTCTAAAATAAAATACTGACTTCGCACCAGAAAGCAACATAATTTTCAGGATGAAAGAACTAGATATTTAAACACACAAAAATAAGAAACTCGTTAGAGACCAGATACGCTGTTAAACATCTTAAACGCTATTAAACATCTTAAAATACACAGGCCAGAGCCCCACAACAACACTTCAACCTGATCTGAAATGTAAGTACTGCTGAGGTGGAGAAACCCCGCGGTTGGACAAGAAAAAAATGACTTTTCTCTGAGTTCCCATTTCCAAAATACACGTCCTCATTTTATAGATCAGGAAACCGAGGTTCAGAGATGTTAAGTCATTTACCAAAGTCACATAGCTAATAGCTCCCCTTCCTTGCCTCATACCATCAATTTCAACTTACAGAAATTGCAAAGTATTTTATTCTTTTCTTTTAATGTTTATTTGTGTATTTTTGAGGGGGGGTGTAAAAAGGCCTGAGAGAGAGGGAGACAGAGAATCCCAAGAAGGCTCGGCGCTCTCAGCACAGAGCCTGATGTGGGGCTTCAACTCACGAAATGCGAGATCACAACCTGAGCTGAAATCAAGAGTCAGACGCTCAACGGGCTGAACCACGCAGGCGCCCCGCAAAGTATTTTATTCTTAAACAATACTGTTCAAAGAACACCATATATATATATATATATATATATATATATATATATATAGTCTGCCAGAAATTATATTTTCTGCTTATTTGTGAGATTTAAATTTCAGCTGACACTTTCACTGGTTCACACATTCTCACACCTTCAAACATCAGTCGGGCTGATGGCATCCACATTTCTGTATCCATCCTGCTTTTTACCCTTTGCATAGGAAAGAATGTATAAGACATAAAAAGAAATAAACCCCATAAATCTTAACAAACGTATACTGCTGTTTCCTTATCACACTTCTGGCCCGGGGGCGTGTCTCGTGAGAAAATGCCAAGGCCGATATCAAAAAGGTTGCTGCCTGTGTTCTCCTCTATGATTTTGATGGCTCCCCGTCTCGCATTTAGGTCTTTTCACCCATTTTTAATTTAGCGTCCCAGAAACTATATACAAGGAAACAGAAATCCTGCTCAGGACCGGGCATGAGGTCGTGCCTTTGGGGACGGCTCACAGGCACAATGGCTCTGGCCCAGCTGGCCCCGCACTGGAGCATTCAGGCTGCACCACTATGTTCAGCATGAGCCAGGCACTCTGTCAGGCTCTTGGAAATGCAAGATGTGGAGCCAGGTCCTAAATGAGCAAGACGCTGCCCTCCAGCGCCTCCCAGCATAGCAGGATCCCTAGAAAAATCCACAGATAATTTGGTGCAAGATGCCATGGAAAAATAAGAGTGATAACCATAGGATGACACACTCTGTGTGTGTATCTGTACATGTGCCTGTGTGTGTATGAGTGTGTGTGTGTGTGTGTGTGTGTGTGTGTGTGTGTGTTGAGTATATGTCAGGGAAAGATTCCTGGACGGGACAGGTATGTCTGCAGTATTTAAAAATAGCAGCTAAGTGTGCCTGGGTGGTCAGTCGGTTAAGCATCTGACTTCAGACCAGGTCACAATCTCGGGTTTGCAAGTTTGAACCCCGCATCGGGCTCTGTGCTGACAGCTCGGAGCCTGGAGCCTGCTTCCGATTCTGTGTCTCCCTCTCTCTCTGCCCCTCCCGTACTCGCACTGTGTGTCTCTCTCTTTCAAAAATAAACATTAAAACATTAAAAAAAAATTTTTTTTTTAATAAAATAAGAATAGCAGCTAGATTTAGCCAGGTGAAGGCAAGGGAGAGGGGGAAGAAGACTGTAACCGGATAAAGGGAACAGCATGAGTGTTGTCAACATGGCAGAGAAACAGCATTACTGGAGTGTGGCCACGGACTTTCTCCTTGTTCCAGAACATTCGGCACCTCAACCAGACTGAGTCACATAACTTTCACTGGTGAGTTTGTGCAACAATCGTGCTCTGAAGAAAGGAGAACTGCTCAGGATGGTGATTCAGGAGTGCCTCCCGTGTCCCACAACCCCCCCCACCCCGCCCCTGTCCAGATGTCACCCACATTAAACACCTTCTCACAATGTCTGAAAACCCCTTCATTCGTTTTCTCCTTATTTCAGGCATCAGTCATTGCTAAAACCCCTGCGAAGCTGTGGAAAGGGTACACACAAGGCTCAGCAACCTGCCAGAACTCATTTGTAAGCAGTTATTACTTCCTCGTTTTGCAAAACGTCGACCTTCAAGAAATGGGACCAAAGGAAGTTACATTAAAAATTTTCTTGCAGGGGCGCCTGGGTGGCTCAGTCGGTTAAGCATCCGACTTCAGCTCAGGTCATGATCTCACGGTCTGTGAGTTCGAGCCCCGCGTCGGGCTCTGTGCTGACAGCTCGGAGCCTGGAGCCTGCTTCAGATTCTGTGTCTCCCTCTCTCTCTGCCCCTCCCCTGCTCATGCTCTGTCTCTCTCTGTCTCAAAAATAAATAAAAACATTTAAAAAAATTAAAAAATTTTTTTTCTTGCAATAACTGTAGGGTTCTAGAAAAAGTTGCAAGGCTAATACGGAGATCCCACACACCCTAACCCAACTCCTCTGATACTACCCAAAACGACCCGGGCGCATTTGTCCTGACTACCAAATCAGTGCTGGTACGTTCCCACTCACTAAACTCCAGGGTTTATTTGGATGTCACTTGCTTTTGCTTTTTCTCTCCCAGGATCCAATCCAAGACACCACTGGCCCTTAGGTAGTTAGGTTTGGATAAAACGTTAGGACAGTGTCTAGAGGCTTAAAAGTGAGCAGTTCCAAGGCGCCCTCTATGGGCCGGACACTGTGCGGTGACTTCCCGTCGATGTGACCCTAGGAGGTTGGAACACGGTCCCATATCACAAACGAGTAAAGGGAGGCTTGCAGAGGCCCCAGAGCTGGCAAATGGCAGCGCCAAAGACGTGGCTAGGAGAGGCAGGGGTTCCACGGCCCCTCCAGCCCCGCACAAACCTGGGGGCACTGAATTTTTCTCAGGAGTTTGTGCGAGGACCAAAGCTGAGGACGGTGCCCGCTGCCATGGCCGGCGGGCACCCAGCTCCCCCACGGGGGCTCCAGCCCCGAGCCAAATGCCGAGGTTTGTCTCCTGGGCTCTTTTCGAGAAGCAGCAAGAGTCGTCGGGCCAAGACGGCTCTTTGAATGCCAGCGGACCGCCTCCAGGGTTCAAACCCCGGCCCAGCCGCGCACCCGCGGCTGACCCGGCCCAAACCGCGTAACCTTTCTGAACCTCAGTTTCCTCGTCTGCAATGCGGCAGTGGTGATGCTTAACTGTGGGGCTCTTGGCAGGTTTAGATCGGAAAACACAGGCACACTCTCCACCCGAGCACCTGGTACAGAGGGAGCACGTTGCAGAGGGTCATCCTCCACGTCTAAACAGCAAGCACCGGTGCGCGTGCGTGCGTGCGTGCGCGCACGCGCGTTTGCGCATGCGCATGCCTGTAACACCCGCTGGTAAAACCACGAGTTCCCGCAATCCGAGATCCCTGCGGCCGTAAGCCCCTCTGCAGGTAACAACGGGGGAACTCGCACCCTGTCCCTCAGGGGCTGACGTGGATCTCGTGTCCCTGCTCAGCCAGTCCAAGTCCAGGGATTAATGTCCTCTAGATAAAAGCCAGAGCTAACAACACCCCCCCCCGCCCCATTTGCAAGTATTTTCATGGAGACGAAGTTTCCAGCCCCCAGACTGCCCAGAGCCAGTACCCACTGACGTCCTCCTGACAAGAAAAGAAGGTGGGCGCCCTCGGTCACCATGTAGTCAGCACCCCGTTGACGTAGAACTGGCCCGCCCCCCATCACCAGCGCGGCGAGCGCCTCATCACGGGGGTGCTGCTTTCACGAAGGCCGTTTCCCAAATGAACCTCTAGCTTGGGAGCTTCCCCTGGAAAGCCTGGGGGTAGGCGTGAGAGTTCTAGAAGTTCTCTGGGAATTAGGGTTCTTTGGCCCCGTCTTCTGAAATTCACGAATGGAGCAAAAAGGTGACACCAAAGAAAGGCGGAGGGAGATAGAAGAGAAAAAGGAAGGAAGAAACGAAGGGAGGGAGGGAGAGAAGGAAGGAGGAAAGGGAAGCAAGGGAAAACGGAAGGGAGGAACTGAGGGAGAGACAGAGACCATGGGAAAAGGGAGAGAGATGGAGAGATCGCTGACAGGCAGACTGGCTAACCGGCCTGTTCACGTACTATCTCACACGCGGACACCGAGATTCCACAGTCACACTGATTTGCCTGTGGCTCTTCTGTGTCCGCTTGACCACCTGACACTCTAAGAGCACAAAGATATCCATGAGTTGTTGAGCTTCTAAAGCGGTGAGTGACAGACACAAATTTCGAGTCTTAATGATCTTGTCTGTGCTCAGCTCTTTGGCCTGTAAATATTACCAAGCCAGATATACCTGCAGAAATAAGTCACGTAATGAGCATTTTCAGGGGCAGTCTTACTGCCCGTTTCTATAGTACACAAACCATGTCCTCAACCAACGATCAAAATTTTAGGGCCTCTTAATAATACACACACACTTTTCCGTAACACCAGGGATTTTTCTAAGGCCAATCAATCATTTCCTTAGTTGAGCTACTCGCTGAAAACACTGACATAATGATCGACTTTTTCTAAGTACAACTATTGTATTTCTCAGCCAGAAACAAAAGGGGGGAGAAAAGAGCCATTCCTTCTAAGTACTCGCAATGACAATTATCAGCAAAGACTTGCCTCCTCCTTGATACAAAACTCCCCTCGAGATGGAAATGCTAACACCAGAGAATAAGTAGATACAATTTGCCATGATTTGGATTTGCAGGAGCGAAATTAATGAATATAATGATTAGATATAATACCTGTAGATAGAACTGGACCCAGTAAAAGACATATTTGGAAGATGACCGTGGAGATCCCCATTTTGCTGGGTTCTTCTCAACTGGAAGAAAAATACCTTGACATTTATAGGTTCCCAGCTGAAAGGAGGCGTGCCCATTAGGGTGGTATATTTCTACTGCTGCCATAAATCAGTGTACACTTGATCTTAGCCAAAAGGCCGAGAAGCGATTGCCATAAATCAGTGTAAAGGAAGTGAGGACTTTTGCTAACAGTTGATGGTTAATCTGTGGGAACAACTTAGGTGTGTTAGATTGATCGCTCTGTGAACGATCTGGCCATTCTCCAACTGCAGACACACTGACAGTGATACAATTCCCAACTTCCTTTTAGGTGAACCTGTAAGACTCTCAGGTGCTCTCTGAATACAGGCTTAAGTTTAATCTTGGAGAATTTGAATAAACTTTGGGGAAGTCAGCCCCAAGAGTGGGGCATAGCAGGATGTGGGCTGCTGGGCAAACATAGAACGTGGTGCCAAGGGGAAATCATCTCTTTGGGATGATTTGTTCTGGCAGTGCATGCCCTTGTTGGCCCCTTGCTTTGGAGAACAACATGATTGGAAAGTAGAAGGTACGAGGGGTGAGTTCATAGATTCCGTGGGCTCGACCTAGCTTCCACCATCTCCTGGCTCTCACACTAATCCCATAGCACGGGAGCTGAGAAACCAAACCTCAGGCCAAACCCCCTCCGACCATCTCACAGGCTCTGATTTCTTGGCCCTTGACGTTCACGTTGTGTAACTCTGGGAGCTTGGCAAACCCACAAAGCCTGCCCCTGACCTCCTCCTACCTTACAAACGGTCCCTCTCCTTGGGTTTGTCATGTAGGTATCACTTTTCCCTTTGGGACCCCCAGTCTTTATCACCAGACTTTGGTAAACCCCCCACTCTCCCCAAGGTTGCCTGTCTCGTATTTTGATCAAAGTGCTCTTGGTGGTTGGTAACCCTTGGTAGAAGCATTTGCAGGACTTGCCTGTCATGCTGACCTGGAGGAGCAGTGCCCTGCCTCTCAGCTGAGACACCGAGGCTATCAGATGACACCTTGGTTTCCTTGCCATGAGCCGATAACCTGTGGTCTCCTGGTGTGTCATTCTAGAAGGATACCATGAACTCACGCCAGTCAGGATTCAAGGCTGGGCGTCTACACTTCGCTTCATTCAGATAGAAGATACGTTCACCCCGGGGATTTTGTTTTTAATCCTACAGCTCTTCCCAAGTTCTACTTCTCCCCTTGATGAAAGTTGGCACGTTCCTGCAGGATAGCCTCATTGATTTTCATTCTCCTGCTGTCAGTCCAAGAATTGGTAGGTCTCAGGGGACTAGAGGGCAAGGATACACATCTCCTAGGGATGCCTAAGACCAGACAGCACATCGGATTCCTCTGCCAGGGGTTATGCTAGTTTGGATCCTGGTGGGCTGGGCCGAGGCTGGTCATGAAGCCAGGTCTGGGATCATCAAAACAGGGGAGCTCTTACAGCTTAGTGATGTCTGCCTTGAGCACAGCAGAGAAAAGTGGTGGTCGGAGTAAGAAATATCTGTGAGGGAGAAAGAGGGTAAATGTATCTTTCCCTCACCGAACAAAGCACACTGCTTGGTCATAGAGACAGATGCACATGCTGACAATTACAACAGGGGGCAGTAAGTATTAATACAAGTTGTGATGGGAACGTACAGAAAATGTATCTAAACCAGGTGGCAGAGGCAGTTTCTCAGAAAAGGGGACACCTAAACGTAGTGTCGAAGTATAAACGAGGGTCATCCAGTGACCAGCAGTGGGAAGACCCAGCGAAGAACAAGGCATGACTTTCTGGACTGTGTGAGAAGGGAAGCAGGAGGGTATCCTGCCGGGAGCCTGGGAAGCAAGCTTCGTCGATGGCTCTGCCCAGACCGGGAGCATCCTTCTCGAGAGCTTAGTGTGATTTTGCCAATGGCACAGTATCCCCATTTTCGTTATTTTGGTGACTCTGTTCTTCTTCCTCTTTGATCAGTAGTAAAGAGCCAAAAAAAACAAGGGCGTGTGTGCTTTTTTTTTTTTTTTTTTTTTCCAGAAGACTCCAGGGAGAGGGAGGTGGAGGGGACCTACCTGTCATTTCAAAGCCACTTGGGGATGTGTCCCAGGTGGGAAAATGGCTAATGTCAGTGGAGCAGGAAGAAGGTGGATGTCCCTAACGTGCGGGATGGACACAATGGGGTTGAGGGCACCACCAGGTAGGCCCTTCATCACCAGAAACCCACCTTGTCCCAAGGCCCTTTGTTGGTTATAAGACCCTGTTCAGAGAGGCCTTCCTGTGTGTAGAGGAGGGTTCTGGGGGAACCCAGCCCTCCAGCAGCATCTGCTCCCTCTCCCTTTCCCCCGCCCACTGGCTTAGAAGCATCTGCGTGAACAGCACATCCGGATGGAAGACTGGAGCTACGGAGCTGCCATTAAGAACAACAGAACAGGGGCTCCTGGCTGGCTCGGGGGGTTAAGCCAACTCTTGATTTTGGCTCATCATCTCACAGTTCATGGGTAGAGCCCGGTTCATGCATCGGGCTCTGTGACATCAGTGTGGAGCCTGCCTGGGATCCTCTCTCCCCCTCTCTCTGTCCCTTCCTCGCTCGCTCTCTAAATAAATAAATAATTGAAAAAAGAAAAACAGGACAGAGCAGCTCATCAAAGCTCCGAGGCTCGGCACGCAGGCCCCACGTGGGAAGGGCCTTCCCCAGGCAAACCATACTGATGGCCACCTGCCTGCAGACTCCGGAGGTGGAACCAAGCTCCCCACCTCCGTCCCAGAGGGATGGCCCTCACTGGAACCCTGGAGGCGTGCACATGGCTTTTACTTTTTTCAGCACTAGAAACCTTTCCTAAATTGAAATTCGTGGGAAGCCCCCAAATGTAAAACGGAGGAGGAGGGGTCCGTGCCAGTTCAGACAGCTCCTCCTCCTTCCTGTGCTCACCGTCCTCCAGCTTACCACCCCCACCACCACCCTTTCCTCCTTCAGGCAGCCTGGGGCAGAGCTGGGAATCCCTTGAGGGAGCTCTACCCTTCCTTTTACGGGAGGGAGAACTAGAGGCCCAGTGAGGCTCCGGGCATTGCCAGAGGCAGTGCCCCGATGCTGAGCTGGGGTTCCAGGCAGATTCCCCAGGGCAGGCAACTGCCCTCAGCTTACGTGGCCTAAGCCCCGCTTTCTTTCAAAGATTGGCTCCACCCACAGGCAAGTGCCCTGCCTGCCCCTCTGGGGGGCTGGAGGCAACACAGGTTCCCATCGCCTCTGCAGGGTGTCTGATCTCTGAGCCCAGGGGCCCTGTGACTGGGACGGACCAGGGTCGCTGAGCTAAGGGTGCAAGCAGAAGGCTGGGGAGCCTGGGTGGGAAGGGGTGGGCGTCTTCGGATATTGCTGTTTGTTTCTGGCCACTGGGTCCCAGAAGTCTGTGTGACCACGGCTCACCTTCGGGTGTCAGGCTGACCTCCAAAATCTGATTTTGCCCTTGCTAAGTACCACAGCAGAACAGCTAGCCATTGTTACCGTTCTAATAACCCTTCGTGCACAATGTGTATGATGCATACGGTACCAGTCAGCTTTGATCTCAGAAAGCCCGTCTTCCCGACCAGGCTACAAGGGACCCCCCGCCCCATCCAGCCCCACCACGATCTGAAGAGCAAGCTGTCTCAGGGTTTCCTGCTGCTCCTCTGTAATCACGGTGCCTCAAGCAGAGCAGGTGCTCAGCAGGCATTGGCTGTTGAAGGTGGGTTATCAAGAGCAGTCCCCCCTCCTGTTTTCCAGGGTCACCAACATGCGGCCTCGAGCTGGGGACTCTGTGATCCAGAGACGGGAGCTGACACACAGAGCCAGGCCGGTGTCCAGGACAGCTGCCAACAGAAACGGCCTCCCATCAGAAGAATGGAGAGTAGGAGGATTGATACAGCTTGCTGTCCATCAGGACACAATCCAACTGCAGAATCTTCCAGAAAGAAACACTCGAATGACCCTTGAAAAATAGAAGTCTGATCATTTTACTCTCATCTTTCTCAAAATAATGCTGCAAGCCCTGGCATGGTTTATAAGCCCCACAGAGCCAGCCCCCATAGCCTCTCCTCTCAGCACACTCCAGTGATAGTCCAGCCTCAGGGCCTTTGCACTTGCTGTTTTCTCTGCCTGGAAGATTTTCCCCCACAAATCTGTGAGTTCACTCCCTTCCATCCTTCAGATTTTTTCTGATACATATTTCCCCCTTGCAGCCTTTCCTAACCACCCCTATTTAGGCCTCCCTAACCCCTTCCTGGCTCACCATTCTCCACAGTGCTTCTCACCATCTGGCCTCCTTATATTTTATGTCTTTACTGTTTTGCCTATCTGCTCCCACTACAATACAAGCTCTACAAGGCAAGGATTCGTGTCTGCTATATCCCCAGAATCTAGAACAATGCTTAGCACATAGTAGGTATCAAGAAATATCGAGAAATATTTGCAGATGGAATTGACTGAATGGACATGAGCAGATCCGAAAGAAGGAGACCAGGACTGTTCACACAGAGTGACTTCTACGTTAACTGGGTATTGAGTACATGTAAAAGATAATGCTGTTGGGGCGCCTGGGTGGTGCAGTCGGTTGAGCGTCCGACTTCAGCCAGGTCACGATCTCGCGGTCCGGGAGTTCGAGCCCCGCGTCGGGCTCTGGGCTGATGGCTCAGAGCCTGGAGCCTGTTTCCGATTCTGTGTCTCCCTCTCTCTCTGCCCCTCCCCCGTTCATGCTCCGTCTCTCTCTGTCCCAAAAATAAATAAACGTTGAAAAAAAATTAAAAAAAAAAAAAAAGATAATGCTGTTTATTCATCTGCTTACTTAGCAAATATGTCCTGAGTACTTACGATGTGCCAGGCACTGCTCTAGGTAATGGGGCTAAAGTCCAAAGCCAGGGAGACATAATCCCTGCCCTCATGGGCTTTACAAACTAGAGCAACACAGACAATAGACAAGAAGTGAATAAGTAGAAAGAAGCATTTCAGATTGTGATAAGAATTATGAAGGAAATGAAAAAGGCGAT